AATTCCTTGCTTCACTTAAAATGGGTTCCCGGTTGCTCTGGATCTCCTCTAAAGAGTCTGCTTTAGAGTTTCACCATACCCTACTAAATACCCTACTTAATACTTCTGAATAATTAAAAAAAAAATTTATTTAATTATTATTATTATTATTTTTTTTTTTTGACAAGTTGCGTTTAAAATTTGGTTTTACGTTTCTTAGGCTCGTGCATTTTATATTTTTCCCATTCAAACTATTTACAGTATTTGTATAGTATTTATTATTTGTTGACACTTACCCCTTTTAATGTATTTTATGCTGTAAAAATACAGGAGTATACAATTAGGGAAACACAATTTTTACAAAAAAATGTTATGGAACATTAAACAAACTTAAACCTAAAAAATATGTTAAAAATTAAAATTGAATAAATCATTAACAAAAATAAATCGACAACTATTTTAAATGTTTTGACTAAAATTTCAGAAGCCATTTACCGTCACAAAAAATTATTCTCTCACACTTCTTGATGAACCAAATTATTATCATATCATATTTTACTTGCGTATAATACAAAATTATTAATCTACGTCATACCGTAATTGCCTATTCTCGCGATCTGTAAACTATTATTATCCTTGAAAAACTGTATTTATTCATTCCGTTAAGCTATAATTATTATTCAAAAATTCAAAACTCATGATCATATTAAACTCTCAAATTATTATTTACTTATTGTTATTAGTATTTAGAAATGTGACCTCTATTCTCTTATTATTATTCACAACATTGTATTCATTAACTTAAATGTACTTAAGTATACAGTTAGTAGCACACTGTGCATACCATGGGTCAACACATAGGTGCTCCCCCTAAGTATTGGTGGAAAGTGGTATGGTAAAATATCCAAAATCTCACAACCTCTTTGTAAATACAACTTGGTGTATGTATTGTAAAATAAATAAAGTACAAATTTTAAAAATATATGATAATTAACATAATATATTAATAATAATTGAAACCACAAATTATTTAATTTAATTAAAATATGTATTCAATTTACCGTCTCTCATTAGAGTATTGGCTTGGTTTCGCACTAATACAGATGGATCAACTTTATGTGTACACGTGGCATCTAAAGCTCGCGGTTTTTGAAATCTAATTAAACTCCGTTTGTTAAAGTGTTTTACACGGAAATCTCCCTGATAAACACAATTCATCACAACCCTATTAGGTAACAAAACAAAAAAGAAGTTGTAGAAGAAAATAAATAAATAAACATTATTATTTTTAAACCTCTTATTTTGATCGCGCACTAAATTTTTACACAAAATTGAGAAAAAGCATATAAAACACATTTTATACTTACGGATCAGCAAAACACTAGAAAAAAAGATGCCTTTGCATCAAAATCCCAGCCCTTGTTATAATGAATACGTCATAGTCTAAAATAATGAATAATCATCAAGAGTAAATACAAAATGAAGAATGTTATGCAAAATAAATGAATGAAGAATAATATTTTAGTGGAATAACGTTTTATTCAAATAACTACCAACGCTACTAAGTATGTATTTACGATGTATTTATATTAGCTGTACTAGTATGAATAAAACAACATTAGTTTTTTTATTCATTTATCATATAATTTGATAAAATGTATAGTCTTTTTAAGAATTTCAACATAAAATTAATTATTTAAATTAAAACTGAAACCAAAAATTGAGAAATTGTTTTACTATGTTTAAAAGTAGATCTATGATCTTAGTTAACCATTGAGTAATTAATCATCTGTGATTTATGATAAGGATAACCTACTAAACACTCAAAACTAACAGCGTACCTAATGCTTTTTATAATTAATTTTATTTGCTTACCACATTCAAATTGATTTTTATCATCAGCTAATGTTGTACAATTTGCCTCTCCTAAATATTGTAATTTTCTTTTAGCAACATGGACTCTTATTGAAGCTGGAGTAATATTAACACATCTACTCTAAGTTCATTAGCAATTTTTTTCCATATCTCATGGTTTACGCCAACTATATCTAATAAAAGTAATTAATAATAATAATAATAATAATAATGATTTCAATATTAATTTATTTTACAAAATCGATACATAATTGAAAATTGAAAATAAGTTAAAAATATATGGTAAATGTCATAAGTTGCCAAAATAATGCTTTAATTTCTAACCTTAATACTTTTTCCTAGTGGAAAGTGAATCTACAGTTGGTGTATTGGAGGTCAAAATTCAAAAGTGTTGGAGGAACCAGTTATTTACAAATTTTGAGTAGCCATAGATATAGAGCTTTTTAGACGACCTAGTTGTTAAAGATTCTGAGCGATGAATGAATTGATTTTACAATGATGTGTGTTTTTTTCCTGTCTGTGTATAGCAAACCTAGTCGAAATAATGCTCCAATTTCAAACTTTAGAGGTGGTTTCCGATTTAAAAGTGTATATTATTGGTGCATTATAGAGGTCAAAAGTAAACATTTTCCAAAAGTTTTCAAAAAAATCGAGAAAAACAAAAAAAAAAAGTGAAGGAAAAATGGGAATTTTAAAGCAAAACCAGTTTTTGTCCAAATCAATTTTTTTAAATGGTGTTAACTAATACATGGCTAAATTTGCAAAATATTTTGAATTTTTTTGAGCTATTTATAGACAACTAAAATTTTCAATTTTTCTGAAAATTTATTCTTGAAGTGTCGATAAAATTTTTTTGACCCAGTCAAAATAATTTAAAATTTAATACAAAGTTCCTCGTAAGTTATTTTTAAAGTGATTAAATAATTATAAGAATACCCAAGTAACAACGGATATTCATAGGATTGTCTGTCAGTCTTTTTCGTTTGTTCTATTAATAATAGATTTAAATATGATATAATTATTCTTTGGACGATGTGGACAATGGTTTGCAATTATTTTTAATCATAATAATCTAAGTGTATTCAAGAAATCTTTGAAAAGAATATTCAATATAGAATATTCAGCATATATTACGATATAGCTCATTTAATGAATATTCCAAAGAATATCCATCAGGTCATAATATATTCATATTCATTTTTTATTAATTGTTTTTAATTATACAATGAATAATCCAAAAAGCATAATCTTTGATACGTATCTAATGGGGAATATTTTATGAATAGCAATCTATTACTCTTTATCTTTAAAATATAGTTCGAATTAAATGACCAGGGATTCCCAGTTCAACCGAAACTTTGTTATATGCGCTCGTGGTCATACATATAGTATGTTCCGAGATCCAACATATGGAAACTGAGCAGCGTCACGAGTTAGTCATTTCGTTGTGAGCTCCAAAAGGGTGGAACTCTCAACGTTGTTTTTCTCTGAAAACAGTGTTTTAGCCCATTACGATCATAGTTGATCAGAAATTTACCGGATCTCGTTACGATATTTATTTACATAGCTTGTGTGTTCGGTTGTATCTGCGGGCGGCTAAAATATTAGTTGATGTATTTTCCTTGCCTGCTTTGTTAGCCTTTTAAGAGATCCGAGATACTCACTTGTCAGCGGCAACGTCGCGTTTTGTGTGTACTGGAGTTATATCTGCATTTTATGAGATCCTTAAGTTTTATATTTCTTGTAATGATTTAAATAATTATTATGATATTAACCTATAGATACTCTATTACAAAAACTGTGGATCTCGTAGCGAAATAAATTGTTCTCAATAATAAATTCTATTTAAACTATTTAACTATAAGTATTGTGTAGTTTATAATTTCCTAGTTGGATATTATTTTAAACACGCCATTAAGTACCTAGGTACGTACTGACAGTACTATCCTGCTAAAATTTGTTGTACTGTTATAATGGACAGAATTACCTATTATGTATTAATTATTACCTTTTTTTTTTTTAGCTTCTACAGGCCATTACGGCCCTTCGCTGCTTCTACTATGCCTCTCCATCGGTCTCTGTTGTCTGCACCCTCAATTATTGCAGTTTCATCTACTTGCATTAAGTTTTTTTTTACCCGGCCCATCTAACGCTGACGTGGTCTTCCTCTGGGTCGTGTTTTATTTGGTTTAGATATCATAACTTGTCTCATTTGGCTGTCCTTATCTCGCCATATGTGACCAGCCCATTCCAGTCTCTTTGAGACAAGATATTTTTGGATATTTGGTCCATTAAAGATTCTTTCCAACCTTGAATTTGTTCTCCTTTCGTACTCCCCTATTTCCGTATTATACATGGGACCATATATTCTTTTGAGGATCTTTCTTTCAAATATTAAAAGCTTTGTCTCGTCCCTTTTAGTGGTTTACCACGTTTCGCACCAATACATTACTATGGGCCGTAAGTAGGAAATATAAAGCTTTTTCTTAGTTTCTCTGGAATGAAGCTTAGATCTGAATAACTTACTCATTGCATAATAGCCACGATTTGCCGTATTTAGTCTCAATCTAATTTCGTTATGCATATCATTCCTATTCAAATTGACTCCCAAATATTTAAAATCTTCTACTTGTTCGAATGTATATCCATATATATATATTAGGGTGTTCCTTAATTTTTGATTTTAAAATATGTTTGGTCTCACCCCCTAATTTTGTGCCTATATGTATAAAAACGAACTACTAAAAGTTTTGGTTCGATCAGATAAGGTTAACCCGTGCCGACTTGTGATTTAAGTTTGAACTTACTACATTTTTCAATATTTACGAAAATTTTCGACATTTTTGTAAATATTTCATTAACCTTTAGAAATATTGATATTTTTAATACTACATATTTTAAAGTAAATTAAATTTACTATAACTTTTATTTTATTACATTTTTTCATATCTCTAATGGTTCGTGAATTATATTGATTTGACTCTAAAAAAACACGATATCTTTGGAAATACGAGCAACATAGTAATGATTAATTATAATAAACAATGTTATAGAATAATTAATAATTATGTTAATGTTTTATAATATATATATTAAAAAAATGAAATATTTTTATCATAAAAAAAAATTCTATAGAATAATGAAAATTAATATTGTTGTTGTAAGGTGCTTTTTTTACAATCTGGATAAATTTTCCGATGTTCTTGTACACATTTTAGTATAAATTGTTTTTGTTCTTCATCTAATGTGAGTGTAGAATTGTATTCTTCCATCAACTTCACGGCTCTCTCTGCAGTATCGTTAACTATTTTTAATGAATTAATAATTTTTTTACCATTTATGTAACTTTCACTAGATTCCCAAAAAGTTGGATCATGTTTTAAGAATCCGTCATCAATGTTAAATCGGGAAAATAGTTTTAAGCTTTCTTCTGTTATAAATGCGTCAATATTTTTTTCTGTAAAAATTATTATATTAAATATAATTAATTGCTTATTTTTTATTTTATGAATTATTAAACGTATTCAATATATTTTTTAAACTTAATGTTTATTTACTTACCAATAAATTTATCATCTATTTGGTTTGGTTTAATTATCAATCGTTTGGCCGGATATTTTGTCGCTTTTTTTTTTAAGGCTTTTACCATCTGACGCTTTACCTCTAGTGGTATAGAATCATCAAAGAAAGATAATGCAGCAGCCTCTTCAGTTAAATACCACAAATGGTTGCATAATTTTTGAATTGATACTCTAGATATTTCTCTATCAAATACTTCATATAATTTCATATCTTTTATAAATTGTAAGTCTTGATTTGGGGACTTATTTGGCAATGGACAAGTAAACCAAGCTTTGACGTAAAATTTAATAATAAAAACACAAATTTCACCGATTGCTTTTTTTGTTAAGTCGGAAATATTGTATTGGCTTCTAAACAAAAATATTTTTAAGCAATAAATTGCTCGTGCCATCCTTTGGGCTTGATGCATGGCTCCGGGAGGATGCATTTTAATTTTATTTTCCAAATTACCGCCAATAAAAATAAATATTAACTCCAAAAATTCACGATAATCTTCACGAGGCTGTTTAGTTTCTAATTTACTTTTAACAAAATTCAGAATATCTTCTTTAACATTTTCTAAAGCCACGCCACATGCCTGATCTTCAATTCCGATGTTATATTTGTTAATATCTAATTTATACCATTCTTTTTGAAAATTTTTAAATAATTGAATTGCTGGGCTTGATGTAACTTCTGGTATTTTAATTTCAAAAACAGATCTCAAAATTAGCTCATAAATATGATGCCTACAAGGAAGATATAATAGTTTTTTACCGAGTTTTTGTTCAATTAAAATACATGCTCCATTTAAGCGTCCTGTATTGGAAGCAGTTGTATCAAAACACAATGCCTGAACAATATCACATAATCCCCATTCTTGTAATGCATTACACACAGCTGCAGCCTGTTCTTTGCCTGTCGACCGCTCAAGTTGCGGAACATTTATAATTTGCTCGATATTCGTACTTGTTATCACAATTGGTAGTCGTTCTACAGTTGTATTTCTCATTTTAGTGTCTGGTAATAATTTCCCATCCCAATGTACAACCACGTAATTAGGTGCAGATTCTTTAAATCGTAATTTAATTAGTTCACTGCTCTCGCGACGATATATTTCTCTACACCTATGTATTGAAGTTTGATTTATAACATATTCCTCAACATTAAAATTTAAGGCTTCTAAAGTAGCTTGAAGAACATATACTGCATCCCGTATGCTTAACTGGCACCTATCTAAAGCTCCGGCTAGTTTTGGTGTAATAAAATTAATTTTTCCTCGGCATTTTTTTTTTCTGGAGGGGGCTCTATTTCTAGTGAAATATTCATCTCTAATTCTGACGAATCACTACTTTCTGGACTCTCATTTTCTGAAGTACTATCAAATTGAATAAAATTTAATGACGAAGTTGAGGGACGATCTTTATTATAATTATCTTTTCTATTTGATTCATTCAACTTTCGTTGAACGTTCTTATTTTCTTTTACTGTTCCTGTAATATCTTTACCTAAGAGACATCCTGGACGCCCGGGCAAACGTTGGTTCAATTAAAATTGTCTATCAACGTCAATTTTTATTAATTTTAAAGCATCGGAATGAGCAATATCGAATAATAAATTTAATTTATTTTTAAAATCGTATTCTTTTAATTTATATGACTCACCTACTTTTGTAGAATTTTTTTGGAGACTGCGCCATTTATTATATAATTTAATTAATTTGTCAATGCAATGTTGAATCGCTCGAATAGGAATTCTTGCTTTTTTCCAAAAAATACAACATTCACGCACAGCCAACGCTGCACTTTCCCTAACAACAATGTTAACAGTTCGCATATTGTAAAAGAATACTGAAAGCATTTGACCGTTTGATGGAAGCTTGGAACCGTGAATTTGTGTCTCTTCAGACCCGATTAAAAATATTTGATAATCACTTCTCAGTTTTTTTGACATTTTTTTATTTATAATAATACAAAAACGGGATCAATTTGAAAGCATACAACGACAAACGACGGTAAATGTTAGATCTTCACTATACAGTTATTACGATCAAACTAACATTAATAATAAGGTACAATTGTACCAAAATAAGAACCAGACTTATCTTGTTATTAAAACGTAATATCAAAATAATTAACCATACGAATAGGTACTATCTAATCTATTGATATTTAATTTTTATGTACGGAAATATAGAGAAATAATTAGGTAAAAGAGATTAGATTAATACATTATTATTGTGAACATTATACTTGTATTGTGATTGTTATATTACCAGCGATAATATGAAGGCAAAAATACATAAAATAACTTTATAGAAAATTTCATATGGGAGTTTTGTAACAATTATTTTAGCCCGCACAATAATTCATAATTATGAAAAAATACCTAAATTGTGTTTTTTTGGAGTCAAGTCGAAATACTTCACGAACCATTGGAGATATGAAAAAATGTAATAAAATAAAAGTTATAGCAAATTTAATTTACTTAAAAATATGTAATATTTAAAATATCGATATTTCTAAAGGTTAACGAAATATTTATGAAAATGTTAAAAATTTTCGTAAATATTGAAAAATGTAGTAAGTTCAAACTTAAATCACAAGTCGGCACGGGTTAACCTTATCTGATCGAACCAAAACTTTTTGTAGTTCATTTTTATACATATAGGCACAATATTAGGGGGTGAGACCAAACATTTTATGATATTTTTTTCCCATCATCTATAACTAAGGAACACCCTAATATATCCATACATATTTATCTACGATGAGATTCTGTAATATTCTTGGTCGCCTACTCATGATCATATACTTTGTCTTATTCTCGTTTATATTGGGGCCCATTCTTTTACTATAATTAATTTATTTATTTGTACTTCCTTCTACTTCAGTTTGAGAGTCTCCGAGAATGACAATGTCGTCAGCATATGCAAACAACGTGCCGCTACCAGTTAGATCCATTTCTCGCGTTTCATGCATATCTCTGACCACTTTTTCTAAAGCTATGTTAAGAAGAATGGGGGATAGAGCATCCCCTTTTCTCAGGCCTGACATGACTTCAAAATTCTCTGACGTCATTCCCACGAAACGTACTTTGCATGTAGTATTGGAATTGCAACCTTTAACCAAGTTTACCAGTTTCCTGGGCAAACCAAAATTTTGAAGTACTGTCCATAGCTGTTCTCTGTCGATGCTATCGTACGCTTGTTTAAAATCTATAAATATCATGTGTAGGTCTTTGTCGTACTCATAATACTTTTCCATTGTTTGTCTGAGCGTGAAGATGTGGTCACTGGTAGATCTTCCTTTTAAGAAACCACACTGATATTTTCTTACAATGTCTATTGCTATTGCTTCTATTCTTCGTAAGATAGCTATTGAGAGCACCTTGTGCGCTGTGTCTAAAAGCGATATACCTCCATAATTGCTAACTTTAGTTGGATCCCCTTTCTTGAAAATAGGGCAGATAACTGATGAAAACCATTCCTGTTTTACTTGTTTGCTGTTTCATATCTTTGCTATAATGTGGTGTATGTTAATTAAAATTTCTTTTCCTGCAATTTTTAGTAGTTCAGAATTTATATTATCTTCCCCTGGAGATTTATTATTCTTTAGTGATTTAATAATAATTTCAATTTCCTCGATATTTGGTGCTGGCAGTTCAGGTTCTACTGTGTGATATAGTATTTCTTCGTACTTTCCATTGTTGTTATTTCCAGTGCGGGAATTTTTGTTATTTAACAGTTCTTCAAAAAATTCTTGAAATTTGTTTACGATCTCGCTAGGTTCCGATATTATATGACCATTCATGCCTGTGATGGAATTAGTACGTGCCTTGAACCCCTCTTTAATCGATCTGCACTTCTTAAAAAACAATCTAGGTTCTTTCTTATAATATTCGATATCTTCCATAGCTCTTTTTTCCATTGCGCGTTTCTGTTGCCTAATCACCTTGTTTGCTAGGGTTCTGAGTTTAGAGTATTCACTTATGTTCTCTTCTGTTGGATTCAGCAACATATTTCGTCTAGCTAAAGTTCGCTTGTTAATAGCAGCTTGGCATTGTAGATTAAACCAATGATTTTCGTTTTATTTAGTGCACTTACCTCGTAATCTTTCAGCGGCTTTTGTTATAGATTCTTTTGTCTTTGACCACAGTGAAACTTTATCCGATTCATGTTCTGCAAGATTATATTTCCTGAGATTTTCCGAAATTTCTCTTTGGTATGTGTCTATCTCCTTCGGATTCCCAACTTTTTCTATATCAAGTTATTCTTTCCTGTTTGTTTCTTACTCCTCCATTTTACTGACAGCTTTAATACAAACGTTGCAACAACTAAAAAATGGTCAGTATCTCCATCAGCTCCTCTGTAACTTCCAATACTACGAATTGATGTTTTGTGCCTCTTGTCTATTATGATATGGTCAATTTGACTTTTCGTTTTCCCATCTGGGGCAGACCATGTATGTTTATAAATGTTTTTTCTTGGGAAATAGGTGCTGCTAATTATGAGGTCTTTTGAAGAACAAAAGTCAACTATTTTTTGACCATTATTATTTGTCGTAAGATGACAGCTTCCTTTTCCAATCGTTTGTCCAAAGGACGTTTCTCTGCCAACTTGAGCATTTAAATCTCCGACAATTAGCCTTATACAGTTTATAGGCAAAACGTCAAAAGTTGCTTCTAACGTATAGAAACTATTTTTTTTCCTCGTCGTCTGCATTTTCAGTCGGTGCATAGCAGTTCAAAATTATTAGATCTAGTTTCTGTTGCGTTATTCGTATGTAGCAAATACGTTCATTCACTGGCACAAATTTTTTAACTTGATTCATCATGGCTTTGTCAATCAAAAAACCGACTCCCTTCTCATGTCTACCTGTTTGTAGACCGCTGTAGAAAATTATTGAGTTGCCACTTTGTATACTACCACTATTGAGCCTGCGAACCTCCTATATGGCTACTATGGGGATTTTATATCTTGTAATTTCATCAATCATACATTTCAGTGCGCCTGGTTTAAAAAGCGTTCTTATATTCCATGTTCCAATCCGTAACTCCAAATCTTTCCGGGTCCTATTTCCATTTCGTGATCCATTTTTTTCCACAGTCCGAGGCTTTAGTTGAAGTTTCTTAACAATTGTATTTTTTTAAAGAGGACGGGTTGTTAGCCCGTCGCTCAAACTCCCAACCTGGAGGACCAGTTTGGGCCAACTAATTAAAGTCAGCCCTAGCTCGGGGCCCCGGGTCCGCTAAGCCCTTAGCACTAAATAAATAGTGCCCCCCTGAGGGGTTAATTATTACCTAGAGTATATAATTTAAACTTTATTAATTATAAAGTTAATGATAACACATAGAATTTTAGTTAGAATAATTATGAGAAATTATTATTTAGATACTGATAATACGGAAACCTTATTTAAAAAACTTAAAATATTACCTATAAATAAATTATATAATAAATTATCAACAATAAAAATACATGCAAGTAAAAAAGACTATGAAATATTTAATGTATATAATACAAGATATGAATGTAATAATAATCTCAAATTACTTAAATGTAATACTACTTTAATGAAAATGTTTTACATAAATAGAGGAATTGAATTATTTAATAGGTTACCGAATAATATTAAGACTATTAATAATAATAATCTATTTAAATATAAAATAAATAAACTATACATGCAAATTCACGACGAGGCTGAGTTATAATTATAATTAATATAATTAATAAGTGTATAAACGCATAAATGCACAAATGTATGTTAAAAATATATTATTTCATAGAAATAGATATTAATGTAAAATAGAAATAAGAAAAATTATTAATTAATTATAGACTCCCTAATCTCACCACAAGCATCGCTTATAGAGATTAGGTATCAACACAAATTGTATCATATCGAAAATTGTAATTTTATTATTGTTGTTGTTGTTGTTGTTGATTAAATAAATATACAAATATACAAATATAAAATAACTTTTAACCTTACTTACTTTTCTATGATGACGATTTACGTGCTTATAAAATAAAATGGATAATGGTCAGGCAGGTATTTACGGACAGTAAAATTATTTTCTACAAACTACAGTTAGTAAACATGTTCAAATCTTAAAAGTTTGAATAGCTATACGAATATTAATGAGTAATGACATGATCATAGCAACATAATAATACGTACCTACTGTTATTTAAAAATTATATAAATAAATTATTTTTATTAAAATAATCACAAAAATGCGTAACTGCTTTGTAATGATTATAGATGGATATTGGGATAGGGGCTGAAGCCCCTCTAAAACGTAATCAATCCCCACTGAAGGTTTTAGTAAGTAGGTATCTCTGGTTCAGTTACAACATACAATATATATGTATACTGGAAAATAATTAAAACATTTCAAACGAATTCATCAAATAACATTATTTTGTTTATTTTAGTCGAATAAAAATATTATTATCGCTCATTTTTGTAATGGGTGATTTTACTCTGAGATTACTTAAAAACATAGAAACATTATTTTCGTTTAATGCGTTTTGTCTTTGTTACGAGTGGTTCAAAGAGAGAAAACAATAGTGCGCTGACATCCTCTTTACTAATAAATACTCATACAATCATACATCATAATTTCAATACCTCAAAGACCATAGTCCTAGACTACCTATTGTAAGAAATAAGAATACCATGGTCATTGAACCTATACGGGCAATAAGGCTATACAGTATACAAGTCAGTATACAACATAGTCCTGCCGTTAGACAAGAGATCCTACGCATACGTATATCAATTATCATTTAGCTCATACTAATCCATAATGACCAATGATATTATGAAAGAGATAGTGGAACTCGTAAGGATATAACAAGTATAACAACTGAAATATGCGATAGACTATTGCTGGCACATAATTACATTTTATAAATACAGAAACAAAATATGATGTGAGAATAAAAATAACTATTATTTCTGCAATCAGAATAAATATTATGATGATATATTTGGAATTTCCAAAAACGATACCCAAATCTATTAGCATTAGCTAAAGTTAATAACCCAAGACCATACACAATAAGATATGGAAGAAAAATAAATAGTAAGTAACATTTATAATAAAACTGGCAAAATGTTCGAAAATATTCATGTCTTTAATATATGTTATTTTTATTTTACAGCTAAGAAACTATGCCTCAAAAAAACAAAAAAAAAAAAGGTTTCGAATATTAAAACAGGTAAGTGAATATTTAAAATATTACACGCCTAGCGTTATAAATTATATTTGATTGGGCACCTATCATATTTTTATTCGATTAGATATTTTAATAGTATTTAACGTAAGTTATGATACCCGTAAATTGCGTAAACATACATACATTATCGAATTCCAAACTATGATCTCGTAACCTATCATGTGTATACTATAAACGGTGTTGGTTATACCGCACACTGCAGCGGTTGCGGTAAAATGCAACCTTGAAGACAATTGCATTTTACCGCCATTGCTACATTACGGTGACTCCTGGCCAGTGACCTTTATCGGGTTTTAGGCTTTATTAATTTATCATTATTTACCTACTTAAAACTTTAATTTTGGTGAATGTATGAGATCCCGTATTTGTGTATACTACCTATTCTGAATATTTTATTTGACATTTTGACGACTGTGTGGTCGTATATATAGTATGTTCCGAGATCCAATATATGAAAACTGAGCAGCGTCACTAGATTAGTGAAAAACGTTGAGAGTTCCGCCCTTTTAGAGCTCATAACAAAAATGGATCTCGTTACGCTGCTCAGTTTCCATATTATTATGTTGGATCTCGTAAAATACTATGCCTACGACCACAAAAACAATGGGGATCTCCTAACGTACCTACTTTATTACCTATTTCCAATTATTCCCGGAAATCGATTTAGTGTATCATATCTTATATTTTTATTCAATTCTGTGTTTTTCGTTTGATGTGCTGTTTAAGATCTTGTTTCTCAATTTTTACCAGTATTATGAAAACGTATGTTCTGAAACCACCGCCACCGCCCGCCACCGCACGCTTACGTGCACGACATACATGTTATCAGTTATCACATGTTATCAAATAAATTGTTATCACAAAAGTAATCTTTTGCCACCGTTATCATTGTTATCATTTGTTATCATATATTTTACCATCGTTATTGTTATCACATATCTTATCAGTTATCACATGTTATCATATATTATCAATCATTTATTTTTTCAGTTATTAATCACCCCGATCGCGTACGTGCGTGACTTATATTTTTGTCATCACATGTTATCATATATTATCATACATTCAATCCGTTATCACATGCGTGGCATACATTTTTCATATATTTAAAAAAAATATAATATTCTGCGTTAGAACCTGGAGATACCCTCATTCTCAACTCCAATCTAACCCATTGAATAATATAGTATATATATATATATATATTTAAATACTATCCCATAATCAAATAAATATTCTAACAACGTATTGTTCCTTCTTATATTTTTAGAAAAATAATATATACAAAAATATAAACATCCTTGACAAATAATAGGTATATTATCCGTATTCAAGTAAATATTCACACACTATCTTGCAAAAACCATTCTCATATTGAAAGACACTTTCGACATTAAGAGACAATAGGAGAATATCCTTTTTCAATTAAAGCTTAATGTACCCTACCGGTCGCCAGGATGTCGCGGACTCATAATGTATATCCCTATTCAATTCATCGATAAACAATTAAGAACATACGTCGCCAGGATGCGATTGTGCCCGGCCGGTCGACAGGATGTCGCACACTAACGATATTAAAATTCCTATTAGTGAATAACACACATTAATAACTTTTGTATATAAAATATCATATTCGCTCTTGGCACCATGATTTAGCCGACTCTTAGTAGCCGCTATATATATATAGCTTGCACCTGCATACTTAGAACTCTATGGTAGACTTTTCAATCAATCACATTCCGGCAAAATCCATTAATATTGAAAAATGTTCCCACCTATTATAGAGACTCCTGACCTAAGGAATCAGTAGCAGTTTAGTCCGTCTGATGCCTTAACTGGTGTACTCGTATTTTTCGCTCGCTCCGTCTTTATAAATTTTAGTGTGTTTTTATCGTTCACCCCGTCTTTAATCGTCGTGCACTTATTTTTTTTACTTAAGTTTTCTTATTTTTTTCTCTGTACCAAGTTATATTTATTTTTTCGTAATGTTCAACTGTGAAAAATGTGTGACTGCGTTTACACGCAAAGACAGTTTGCTCAGACATATGAAAACTCATGATGGACACCAAATATTGTGTAGTATTTGTAGTAAAAAATTTTCTCGAAGAGATATATTAAGCAGACATATGAAAAACATTCACGGTATGTTTATTTAAATAAATATTTTTTTTCCTTCAAAATTTCAATTTGATATTTATTTTACAAGCTGTTGGTAGCGTTCGAAATACAACAGGCCAACCATCAGACTAACAGCCTAAAGATGTGAATGAGGATTTTAACGACGAGTACGACGAAATGTGCGTGGAAGTTTTGAATAATGCTGAAAATACTGGACTATGCAATACACCAGTTAAGATTTATTTATTTATTTCTAATTCAATTTTTAATTTACTGATTATTAATTATATAGTCAATGTTCACGTCCAGACACCTGTGGAGATAGCTCCTGGAATATATGCCCCTTACATACCAGCTGGACCGTCTAACCAAAATGTTATGCTGTCGAATAAAAAAATGATTTAATTAATACCTGAAGATGACGATGATCTCTGTATTGATGCGCTGGATGAATTTGAAAATACACATACTGGTCAAGGTTAGTTTTTATCCGAATACATTATTTTAACTAGAGAATAATCAGGACTTTGAAGATATAGGTTAGTTTAATTTTTAAAAGACCCACCGATTTTATTTATAAACCGTAGATTAAATTAGATTTTTTGAAGATCCGACGCTATATTTTATTTTTAAAGATTCGTACACCATAACGGTTAATGGAAAACGTGTTTCCACCGCGAATTCCACCTCAGCTGCTAGGGCGAAAAGGGTACGCATGGATATGGTGAAGACCTCTGGGTTTGTGGAATTATCGTCATCGTCGAATAGGATAATAGTTTGGTACTATGCCAAAAATACCGGTAATGTACAGATTTACCAATAATTTCTCCGCTCTCTCGAGCCCGAGCTGAAAAAATTATTGAAAACACGCGTTCAGCAAGGGCCGATAAAATTTAATCTGAAGCTCGAGGCGACCTACAACCGACCTAACGTCGCAAACTCATCGGAGAATAGGGCTTTCAAGACCTCAGCAACAGAAATTTTAATTGAAAGTAATATTACAGAGGTAATTGAGAGGGCATATATTAAGTTAATGACAGAGGCAGAGGAGTATAAATCACGCGGAAGTGGTTTTACCCTAGAGTCCATAGACGGGTTATTGTTAGGTATATATAAGTATACACCGATGGCTGCCTCCTCATTCATAAAGTTACCAGCATATATAGATAGAAAACGAGCTACAATAAACCCTCAAAACAATGACCAGCATTGTTTCAAGTGGGCGATTTTGGCGAAGCACGTAACTGGATCAAATAAACATCGTGTTGAGGAAAATTATAGGCAACAAGTGGTCAAATATAATTTTGAAGGTTTATCATTCCCTACTCCAATATCTGACGTGAAGAAATTTGAAAATAATAACCCGAACGTCACTGTGAATGTCTATGGATTAGACAAAAAGTTCCAGCCACCGCGTAAATATCCGACGTACGAGGTGTACCCGCTACGTGTCGTTGATGAGGAGAAAGCCAACCACTTTGATCTGCTGTTGGTAGCAGACGAAATCTGGTCGCATTATGTTTACATCTCCAATTTGTCCCGCCTGATACGTGCTCAGAAAACTAAACACACTGAGAGAGTCGTATTTTGTAAAAGGTGCTTTACCACCAGCTTCGACAATCAAATATATAAACGCAAGCTGAGTGGGCAGGAAGCGTTGAAGCAGCATAAGTTGATTTGCGGGGCGCATAAGCCAATTCTACCTAAAATGCCTAAGGAGGGTGAGTGTCTGAAATTCGAGGCGTGGAAAAACACACAGAGACACCCATTTGCCATCTACGCTGATTTTGAGACACTGCTAGTTAAGACGGACGAGGTGAAGGGAAAAAACATGAAGATTGTTCACAAACATGAGGCTATGAGATATGGTCTCATTGTGAAGGCGAGTGATGATGTACCGACGGAGCTATTGAGTGAACACAACATACCAACAGCACCAATTATCTACCGAGGAAGTGAGAGTCGTCCTGATGTGGCGAGACATTTCGTTGATACCGTGACGGATATATCGTTAAAGATTGAAAAATTATTTAAGACCAATATAGCCATAAACATGTCCGCGGATGACGTCCAGGCCCATGAAGCAGCAACGTATTGCAATTTATGTGAAATCGAGTTCAGCCCTCCCTCGGAGATACTATTTCGTAAGACAGCCGACCATTGCCATCTCACAGGAAAATACCGTCAAGCTCTCTGCAATGTATGCAACCAAAAACTACGAACACCCGTTTTTGTACCGTGCTACTTCCATAACTTGTCCAACTATGACGCGCACCTGATAGTGACAGAACTTGGTCACGACACTGAAGCTATTACCGTGATACCGAATAGCGAGGAAAAATTTATATCGTTTTCCAAATACGTGTCAAGCAAATTTTCGATTCGGTTCATTGATACTTTCCGCTTCATGGCAACGAGTCTATCTTCACTCGCTAAAAATCTGATAACACCAGGTTTTGAAAACTTTCGTGAAACAGCTAAAGTGTTTACTAGAGACGATATGCCGCTCGTTACACGGAAAGGGGTGTACCCGTATGAGTATACGTATAGTTGGAGCAGGTTGGACGAGACGAGTTTACCAAGGAAGAGAGACTTTTACAACACATTGACCGAGTCGGGGATAAAGGAGGAAGAGTTCGATCACGCCAAGGAGGTATGCTATACGCTGTGCGCGTATTTAGATCTATATTTTAAAATTATTATGTTTTACAGGTCTGGGACCACTTCAATTGCATGACGTTAGGTGAGTACAGCGATCTGTACTTGAAAATCGACGTGTTGTCTTTGAAAATTTTCGTGATGTGTACATAAAGATGTACAACTTGGACGCGGCGTATTATTTTACTGCACCAGGATTAAGTTTTGACGCGATGTTGAAGTTTATTGGGAAAAAGTTGGAGCTGTTGAGTGATTACGATATTTTATTAATGTATGAGATATGAGAATGGTTAGTATATAAATATAATTTTAAAAAATGCGTGTATAATAATAATCTTGTATATTTTTCATAGGTATTCGTGGTGGATTAGTGCAGGCAAGCATGAGACATGCCAAAGCGAATAATATAAAGACCCCAGACTATGACGAAACTAAGGAGAAATCGTGGTTGATATACCAGGACTGTAAATATATTTATTTATTCATTTATTTCTTAATTTTTCAATCTCAAACTTTACAGGTAATAAGATTTATGGCTGGGCTATGAGTCAGTATATGCCATACGGTGACTTCAATTGGGTTGAATCCAACTTGAACGGATTGAGTGAGATGTCACCAACGTCAGGCAAAGGGCGAGTATACGAAGTTGATGTCTCATACCCCCAAAATTTACTTGATAAGCACAATGACCTGCCTTTCCTGCCACAAAACGGTAGACCACCATGCTCAAAGGTGAAAAAATTGATGGCGACGTTTCAGCAGAAGAAACATTATATTATACATTACCGCAACCTGCAGCAGGCAATTGAAAATAGGTTGATAGTTGAAAAAGTAAATATTTTTATTTTACAAGATTTAAATTAAAT